ACTTGGTCGTGTTTACATATGTTGTGTGATGATCAGGGGCAGTCAAGTTGTAGGGTTCTCGAATTCTTGGATGATGACTCACTTTGCATATTAAACTGGAACATTTTAATTGAATTGCTAAATTATGATACTTCATGTGAAATATAATTATGAATTTATTATTTAAATTGTGTTTAACTTTGTTCCCTAGAGCTTTGAGTTGAGGTGAGAAAGCCTCTGTGGTTACTGGTTGCATGGTGTAGAATGAGTACATGATAAAGATGGGAACTACTAATAATGATCTCTTGATAACATCATTTGAGAATTTTGTGATACAGACAAGTTCCATTCCTTGTCTTGTATGTAATGATCATGAATGGATGGTTGCAGCATTTCTTCTTCTACTATCTACTCTTCTACTTCTACTATCTACTCTTCTACTTCTACCTATCTACTCCTCTCCCTCCACCCCTCTCTGAACTCTCACTTTCAACTAATGACCCTCCTCGCTCCTCCCACCTCCCTACCTCTCACCCCAAACCCTCACTAATTACTTCACTATTCATTTCTTTCCTTTCGTTTTCTCTTATACGTTTGTGGCAATGATTATGTATTCTAGAGTTCTCTCTAGAGTTTCGGGTAACTGATCAAGTGACGGCGCCTTGTAGTCTTAGCACCTAGGTAGTCAAATACCTAGGTTACAAGGTGTTGAACGAGAGAGGTTGCCTTAGGAACTCTGGGAGTGCTCTAGAATAGTTAGCTAACTGGGGACGGGATAACGGACTAGAGAGAGCTGTTTCCCCCGGCCTCGTTAGATAACTGGGGGGTGGAATAATGGACAAGATAGAGCCATTTCCCCCACCCCCTGTTACAATGTTGGCAGCGGTGTTGAACAATGTTGAAGGTAGTTGGTGTTCTTTTAACATTGTTCAGTCCCACGTGTCTTTTTGCCGCTCAGGCGCTATCAGGGAGATCTTGACAGGTGTTTATTATTCGCGATTTAGCGAGCTTTTTTCAGGTTAGGAGATAGTGATTCTCTGGCGTTGTGGTTTAGTGAGTTTTGTGTAGTTCAGGGAATGTTCACCAGAACTTGCGTGTGTAGTGATTTATGTTAGTGATAAGATTTGGCGATTTGGGAACTTAGCGGTGTTGGTAGTGCAGGTCAGCTGAGTGTGACAGGTGACCTCGCATGTCCCACGGGGACACCCAGCCACCGCTGGTCTCCAGGTCAGTGGGGAGTGGCAGGTGTAGTTTTTAAGTAGTGGTTCTGCTCAGATTATTGCGATCGACTGTTTTACTCCATTTGAACGCAATAACCCGAGGTGTACTGGTCTTGTACAGCATACTAGGGGGAGGCTTAGTATGTCAGTAGACTTCACGTTGGGGACGCTCGACGTTAGATAGTCTGGTCACAGGGGGTGGCAACAGTTTTGAGTTGTTGACCAGCGGAGAAGCTAGGGAGACACTCTGGGTCACGTAGGTGGCTGTAGGTTAAGGGTGGGAGTAACGGTTAATTATGTACTTAAGATTAGGAACGGTACAGTTGAGTTTAGGCTAGTGTTTTGTCTATTAGTGTTGATTTTTTTTTGTGACAAGTTAAAAGTAGTGACGACCTTATTCTCTCTTCTCTAACTTTACTCTGTTACTGTCTTATGTTCCACCAAGTCAATATTATTCAGGGTCAATTGGATTATTTAAATTTAAGTGTAGTCGTTGCCAGGAGGAGAGCGGTATGACAGGACTGTGTAACCCTATACAAACTACAGGGTCACATAACATATCTTGGGAGCACGATATTGTCGCCTTTCTGTTCACCCACAGGTGGGAGCCAGAAGAGAGGAGAGACGCACATACAAAAGAGGGAGACGGCTGCTGTGTACCATACACACGGGCGTTTATCACCACCACCACGACCAGCCCACTACCTGGAGGTCATGGCTCCACCACCATCACCACCCCAGGGGACCCCAAGATGCAGTCCTCTCGGTCAGTCAACATTGGTCTACCCAGTGGACCCCAAGACGGACGGACCCCCAGTGGACCCCAGGTCGTTCTGCAGACGACCCCAGACGACCCAGTAAAGATGGAAGAGGAGCAACAACGACTCCAGTCTGTCCCACCAACATCGGTCTACCCAGGATGGACCCCAGGACGGACAGACCCCAATGGACCCCAGGTTGCTTGTCAAAGACCCATGGGTGGAGGAAGAGAGAAGAAAGAAGAGAGAAGAAAGAAGAGAGAAGAAGGAAGAGAGAAGAAAGAAGAAAGAAGAGAGAAGAAAGAAGAAGAAGATAAGACCAAGCTGAGTGAGACACGATGCCTAGTGTCCCTTGCTGGTGTCAGCATCATTGCATGGAGCGTAATTGCAAGACAGGATCGTTTGCCTTAACTGGCCGCCCCTCCTGCAAGCATGTTGCTCTGTTGAGTGATTCTTCCTGTGTCATGCGGACTTGATGTGGCTGTCAGAAGTAGCTCTCTGAAGGAGGCGTGCTGGAGCAACAGGGAGGAAGAAGAGTAGGATGGGATTTCTACTGTTGGCAACTATATGAAGGTCTCGAAACTTGTAGTCCCTATAGCTGTGAAGAACCCCAATATACGTCTCTCATGGTGACTGACGTAGGGCCAATTACAGATCAGCTGGGACAACCGAATTCCACGGTCCTGTGCGCAGTTCAAGTAGTAACGGCTTCTGGTTGACCAAGGGTTGTTGTGCGTTAACGACGGAGAAGCGACGGAGGCAGTTGTGTTGAAGAAATGTGGTACAGGATTATCTACAAGACCAAGCAGTGACGTCGCCCAACCAGAGACAATGGACGTCTGTCTACATATTTCATTTTTTAGAGTAGGACGATGTATATTTGTTTAGCTAGGATGTATTTTTTTTTTCGTTAATAAAGTTGTTGCACACAGCTAGCTTGCTTTAGCAGTGTTGCAAAAACTTTATTTCGGGGAGAAGGGGAGATGTAACACTGTAAAAGTGTTTGGGTTAGTTTATTTAAAATATATATAGAATATGAGTCACAGACAGGGATTTGGAAAGGCGCCAAGTTGTCGGCGGAGATCTCACACCTCTAACCGTTAATGACCCCAAGTGACCTGAGGTCAGATCATGAGAATTTCACCTTGCTTCCGCTAAGCTTATAATTGTAGTCTGGTAGCCTTCAAACATGCCGACGTTTAAGGAGTGGCTTGGTAGTGCCGGAGGCTATCTACTTGTGGGCGGAGTTAGTACTAGGGTCCCCAATATATACTGAGGGAGCATAGAGCATTAGCATCAAGAGACAAAACAGCAGACGGCAGTCAGCAGAGCAGAGCAGACGGCCCTAGCAGGGAGGCTGTCGGCCGGCAGGGCGGGAGTCTCTGTCAACTACAGACCCCCCCCCCCCCTCTCTATTCAGCTATAGGCAGAGACACTTGGTGAGTTGAGCAGTAAGGTGACTTGGTCGTGTTTACATATGTTGTGTGATGATCAGGGGCAGTCAAGTTGTAGGGTTCTCGAATTCTTGGATGATGACTCACTTTGCATATTAAACTGGAACATTTTAATTGAATTGCTAAATTATGATACTTCATGTGAAATATAATTATGAATTTATTATTTAAATTGTGTTTAACTTTGTTCCCTAGAGCTTTGAATTGAGGTGAGAAAGCCTCTGTGGTTACTGGGTACATGATAAAGATGGGACCATACTAATAATGATCTCTTGATAACATCTTTGGTGAATATTGTGATACAGACAAGTTCCATTCCTTGTCTTGTATGTAATGATCATGAATGGATGGTGGCAGCATTTCGTCTTCTACTATCTACTCTTCTACTTCTACTATCTACTCTTCTACTTCTACCTATCTACTCCTCTCCCTCCACCCCTCTCTAAACTCTCACTTTCAACTAATGACCCTCCTCGCTCCTCCCACCTCTCTACCTCTCACCCCAAACCCTCACTAATTACTTCACTATTCATTTCTTTCCTTTCGTTTTCTCTTATACGTTTGTGGCAATGATTATGTATTCTAGAGTTCTCTCTAGAGTTTCGGGTAACTGATCAAGTGACGGCGCCTTGTAGTCTTAGCACCTAGGTAGTCAAATACCTAGGTTACAAGGTGTTGAACGAGAGAGGTTGCCTTAGGAACTCTGGGAGTGCTCTAGAATAGTTAGCTAACTGGGGACGGGATAACGGACTAGAGAGAGCTGTTTCCCCCGGCCTCGTTAGTTAACTGGGGGGTGGAATAATGGACAAGATAGAGCTATTTCCCCCACCCCCCGTTACACACCAAAAGAGCGTCAGTACGAGGAGCGTCACATCCGGCCGCCACATGGCCCTCAGCACCACACCGGAAACAGGTCCGTGTCTGGCCCTGATAAAAGTCCGGAGCGAGAGCCCACGGTAAAAAAGTCTGGACGGAATAGGCGATGTAACCCCCATAACAAGCGTAGGAGTGCTCGTATGTAGCCCGTGCAGCCAGCCCGCACTCAAAGTGTTGAAGCGGTGAAACACTACCACACCATATTTGAAAAGACCGCCCTCAGCTCGTCTGCCGGGAAAGCCACCGGCACACCATGAACGCTCACATATTGCACCGCCTCCCAGGGATCCGAAATGTCTACACACACAACCGAGGCAGAGATTGGAACCGTGTGGCCATCCCAGTGCGCCACAAACTCCCGGTACAACAGATCCGAGCGAAGGACAGCACCACCCGTGTAGGAGAGAGCTTTTCCAGCCCTAACAAATCCGGAACGTTCACTTTGAGCTCATCGACGACCGCAATTTCCACTATCGGCCAGTCTACAGCCCCAGAAAAGTCGAGGCACGCCGTGTCAACCGCCTTACGTGGGAGACACCACCAACAACCATACCGCCAGCCGGGTCCTCCGGCCAGCGGGCACACCGCACCACAACCCACACCCGCCTCCACACAACACCAGGCAACAACTGGCAGGTAAGGTGAGCACGTCTTGACCCCCTGGTGGTCAGCGAGCGAATCTCTTGCGAGGGATATTAGAAGGACCAAGTACTCACCCATCTGTTTCCATCGTCCATAGCTGTTCCCCGGCCATCACGGTACTCCTGGTACTGTGACGTCACGCACAGGACCGCATAGGTCTTGGGGTGTTCCATATGGGCGAGACGGAGAGAGATATTTGTTAGTATATGAGTCATGGAACTGGTTGAGTATACAAATCTTAAAAATTAGTTAGATTACCAAGGTGCTTATCAAGACAATGACACATTGCTGGCTGTCATTTATTACACAATCATTGCAATATTATTTATTGACAGCTGAGGAAACTATTATATATGTATTCAAGGGGTGACTTGTATCTTTCCAGAGCGAGAGTGGAAGCCTGAACTAACGCAGTAGAGAGAGCCATTCTTCATAGATTAAGGATGGCGGGTGTCTGAGTGTGATAGCAGAGTTGAGGAAACGACTTCCACAATGTTATATTTATGAGAAGAGTTAGAGACAATGAAGGTTCCTAAAGATTAAAAGAATAGAACCAGCACGGCCTTGAAGGTCAGTCTGATTTGAGGTCATGTTGGTCAATATTTTAGGAATTATTTAAAGAATAAAATGAAAGCTAATAAAAACTGAGAATGGCGATGAACATCGGTGTAGAAAAATGTAATGAAAATACATACTTCTTTATTTTAATACAGATGAAAACGTTGATATTGAAATAATTCCAGTTAGTCTTCGTTGGTTGGTTCACAATACAGAAAATATTGGTATTTTGTCGAAGGGTAATGTCGTATTTTTTCCCTTATTTATGAGATAATTTGTGAAGCTTAAATTTTAGACGAAACCAGAACATAATCAAGTCACATACGACAGGCCTAATCTACAAATAAGCACATAAGAACAATTATTATCAGACCAAATAACGAAGATAAACTCAAGCATAAGAATAATATGAAGATAAGACTAAAACAAATTAGTACGGAATTTTTGTCCCATTCTTGGCAGATTCTGTTCACGAATACTGTACACACAACCATTCATTTACACATGTTTAGCACATGCTTGAAATTATCACATGGTTCCATTCTATTATGATACAAGAGAATATGTTCCATGAACCTCGAACCCAATTTTGTACCAATAATTGTCCATTATTATCTGAATTTACACTTATGCAGTCTGTATCCACAGTATCTCATTCTATTTTGTGTTGATATAATTTGTACCAAATTAATGTCATTTTCATTATATACCCCCCTCCCTTTCCAGCCAGTTTTCGTTGTGAGGGAGCTTGGTGGGCGGCTGCCGAGGTGCGATGCTCCAAGGGACAGTCCTCTGCCCTTTTTAAGCCTTATGCTCCTGCTGCCGTCTTCAGAAATTTTGCTGGATGCTTTTTCCTTTTCCTTATATATCATTTTTCCTCCCTCCTCTTCTCCTTGCTGATTGTCATTTGCTGTTCTTGATTATTCTTTCAGATGTCTTCTGTTTTAACGCCGGGTGTTTAAGGAGACACACTCTCTCACCTGTGAAACTGTGGTACCCGACGTTCCGAGCAAGTGGACAATTTAATTGTCAAACTTTGACATCGATGCTGAACCTGATCTCGACAGACTGACGGTTCCTAAGCGTATACCCACGATGTACCCCTGGGGGGCTTTTTCTTGTCAGGTGTCCTATCCTCTTACTGTGGTTAGATGGTGGGTATGGGGACTTATTTGTGGATGAAATATTTACCTGTTCGTTAATATGCCAATGTCTAACCCACTTTTAATTTCTCAGGCTCGTGGGGTGAGCGACCAGGCCCCGAGTTGGACTATGATGGATGGCTGGGCTCTATAGCCCTCGTTACATTGGGCCCAGACCAAGCTGCTTCTCTGAATCTCCCAACTACCCCTCTCTGCTCCCCCTCCTACCTCTGTGGCAGGGTTGAGTCCCAAGCCTCCAGTGGTGACCACCTCATCACCCGGAGTGGCTCAATCTCTCATTGTAATAACGGCATCTTTTAACATCCCTCCTACTGTGGGGTACTGAGCGCCGTCACTTCCACAATCACATGCTTTCTTCCAGTTCTATTACATTTCAAGCTTTATTTGGTCTTGCTACATGGACTTAGTATTTTGATCTCAGTCATGTTGATTCTACACGTTCTGATAATTTCTTCATTCTAAACACCTAGTTGATTCGGTAGACAATTTTTTCATTCATAACCCCACCTGTATTGATACACATGTCATTGTAGCCACATCTCAGGAAGCAGCTGCCCGTTTAGCCTCGTTGTCCTGCATTGGGGAGACCCCTGTTTGGATTTCCAAAAATTCGTGGTTAAATGCCAGCATTGATACAGTTATTCTTGTGCACAATATTGCAACAGGTGATAGGGAACTGAAAGACTGTCACGAGGATACTAAACATATCCTTAAAGCACAAGGCCATTCTATCCTCCAGATTGATACGTTCACTCAACCCCCCTTGCGGTCGATGTCGTCAGCCTCTTTGCGTAGTGAAGATCACATTCGATAGTAGGAATCTACTGTTTTCTGTAATTCTTGCTGGTGCCTGATGCTTCATTCAGGAGTACATCCCCTCTCATCGCCTCTGCAATAAGCGCTGGAGATTTGGGCATGGTCCCTTCACTTGCACAAGTAAAGTACTTTTATGGCCCTTGTATGGAGACTCGGGTCATTCTAAGACAGAGTACTCTTCTTCCCATGCTCACTGCATCAATTGCGGTGACACCCACCCTGCCTTTTACCACGCAAGTATGCACATGTATGCATTTATCTTTTCCTGAGGTGAGACGCTAAATACACAGTCTTCCCTCTTTCTTTGGCATATCTTATGCTCGTGGGTTACGTTACACTTCTCGCCCTCTCCCACTTTCTCAGTTGCGCAACAGTTTACAGGCCTTGGACCCCAACACCTCCACCACCACCTCCCCTTATCGTTTTGCGTTCTGAACCAAAGGGACTTCCTCCTGGTTCTCCATCTGGTGTTTCCTTTCTGCCTTCCCAGTCTTCCATGTCTCCTATTTCCCTTTTCGCACAAGTTCCTCTTCTCAGCCATCCCCTCTGTCTTTTGGCCCTCCACACCGCCTGTCTGTCCGAGCCGTTGTCCATCCTCTTCCTGGCCATCTGCATGTTGCCCGCTCTCATTCTCCTTCTTCTATTGAGACTGTCGTGGCTGTCGCCTAGTACAGTGCTGCTGGGACACCTGCCTCTTTACGTCCGAAACGTAAGCCTGGTTCCTCTCCTTCCTCACCGGCGGGTAAGAAGGCATCGCTCTCTTCTTCACCTTTCTACTCGGACTCTATACCTTTATCCCCTCCCATTTCAATGGCTGGGTCCCCTGTCCCACCTATGAAGGTTCCCTTGGTCTTTGATTTCCTACTCCTAAAAAATTCCTACTACCATTTCATGGTACAACTGCAGTTATCGTCATGAATGTTACTAGGAGGAATGTGGTGATCATATGATGAGTTAAACAACTATTAACTGGCTTTTACATGTATGATACAAAATTGGACATAAAAGTGCTGTGTGGATGTCAATAAAGAAAAACAAGTGATAAAACAATCATTGAAACATGTGACGATAAAGCAGGAAGTGTCAGCAAAGTGGAGCACCCGACGTTGACAAGCGCCAGACGCCGCCCTGCTGAGCTCCTCCACCCAGTGACGCTGAGCTCCTCCACCCAGTGACGCTGAGCTCCTCCACCCAGTGACGCTGAGCTCCTCCACCCAGTGACGCTGAGCTCCTCCACCCAGTGACGCTGAGCTCCTCCACCCAGTGACGCTGAGTTCCTCCATCCAGTGACGCTGAGCTCCTCCACCCAGTGACGCTGAGCTCCTCCACCCAGTGACGCTGAGCTCCTCCACCCAGTGACGCGGAGCTCCTCCACCCAGTGACGCTGAGCACCTCCACCCAGTGACGCTGAGCTCCTCCACCCAGTGACGCTGAGCTCCTCTACCCAGTGACGCTGAGCACCTCCACCCAGTGACGCTGAGCTCCTCCACCCAGTGACGCGGAGCTCCTCCACCCAGTGACGCTGAGTTCCTCCACCCAGTGACGCTGAGCTCCTCCACCCAGTGACGCTGAGCTCCTCCACGCAGTGACGCTGAGCTCCTCCACCCAGTGACGCTGAGCTCCTCCACCCAGTGACGCGGAGCTCTTCCACCCAGTGACGCTGAGCTCCTCCACCCAGTGACGATGAGTTCCCCCACCCAGTGACGCTGAGCTCCTCCACCCAGTGACGCTGAGCTCCTCCACCCAGTGACGCTGAGCTACTCCACCCAGTGACGCGGAGCTCCTCCACCCAGTGACGCTGAGCTCCTCCACCCAGTGACGCTGAGCTCCTCCACCCAGTGACCCGGAGCTCCTGCACCCAGTGACGCTGAGCTCCTCCACCCAGTAACGCGGAGCTCCTCCACCCAGTGACGCTGAGCTCCTCCACCCAGTGACGCTGAGCTCCTCCACCCAGTGACGCTGAGCTCCTCCACCCAGTGACGCTGAGCTCCTCCACCCAGTGACGCTGAGCTCCTCCACCCAGTGACGCTGAGCTCCTCCACCCAGTGACGCTGAGCTCCTCCACCCAGTGACGCTGAGCTCCTCCACCCAGTGACGCTGAGCTCCTCCACCCAGTGACGCTGAGCTCCTCCACCCAGTGACCCGGAGCTCCTCCACCCAGTGACGCTGAGCTCCTCCACCCAGTGACGCTGAGCTCCTCCACCCAGTGACGCGGAGCTCCTCCACCCAGTGACGCTGAGCTCCTCCACCCAGTGACGCTGAGCTCCTCCACCCAGTGACGCTGAGCTTCTCCACCCAGTGACGCTGAGCTCCTCCACCCAGTGACGCTAAGCTCCTCCACCCAGTGACGCTGAGCTCCTCCACCTAGTGACGCCGAGCTCCTCGACCCAGTGACGCTGAGCTCCTCCACCCAGTGACGCTGAGCTCCTCCACCCAGTGACGCTGAGCTCCTCCACCCAGTGACGCTGAGCTCCTCCACCCAGTGACGCTGAGCTCCTCCACCCAGTGACGCCGAGCTCCTCCACCCATTGACGCTGAGCTCCTCCACCCAGTGAAACGATAAATATTAATTTATTTTCGTGTCTTTCTTACATGCTGCATACACATTAACAATTCTCGAA